TCCTAAACTTTTATTTTCATAAATGATATTTACTGTTTAGGAAAAAAAAAAAATCTCAGTGGCCCAATCATGACTCGCCACGTGGCCCCATGAGAGTGTCCCTTGGGTCTCACCGTGCTGATACTTCTCACTCCTATTGGACTTACAGGCCCATGTCCAACTTTTCCATTAGTATGATATTGTCCGCGTTGGACCCAAATGGCAAAGTCTGCACAGATTTCTCTTTGGGTTCCTTCCCAAAAGGCCTCATACTAATTGGAGGTGGACATTACTTATATATTAGACCATTATTGTCTAAAATTCCGATGTGGAACTTGGATTGATATCCCAACAATCTCCCCTTCAAACCAAGTACCACATAAACTCGTGGATTTCTACCTTCAGCGAAACTTAGTACCCATCTTGTACCGCTTGTACTCTTGGCACCCTTATTGGTGAGATCACCTTTTGAGGGCTCTCCTCCCACAACTAACATGTCCAACCCATTTCTCCAGGTCCACTTCTCTTGACCATGGCTCTTATACCAAATAAAGTATAGAAAGAATAATTTTAACTTGAATAAAGAATAACTCTCTCAAAAACTAAACACAAAGCTTTCAATTATTTCTTGTTTTAAGATTGTCAACTCAACAACCTTTTTTAGCATTAGATTTCTTTTACTAATCCTATGATGAACAAAAAGCTTATTTTTCCTATTTTAAGTAAAACAAGATAATTTCCATTAAACCTCGTCATTAACCAACTTGTTAATGATTTCTTGGACTGCAAGCTATTGAAACTTACTCAATATCTCCCAGATCTCTTCACTTTTTAAGTTTTTAATTCTTTTTATTCAATAATATTGTGAAAATATCACCAATAAACAAGCTCTAAATCTGCTTTCAAGTTAAGTGATTACATATAATTTTCATTTGATTTGGATATTTTGTAAAATGTACATAAATTTTCCTCTCCCACTCTAATCTAATTAAAATACAATTATTGTAATATGAAAGTTCCAAGCATTTTCCCAGCATTAATAATTAGTTTTTTTTATTTATGTATTTTAGATATTAGTGAGAAACGCAAACTTGGAAATTAAGTTGGAAAATAAGTTCATATTTTTGTTCACGACTCTTATTTAATCAACAATAAGTGAAGTTTGAAAACAACAAGAAATGTAACAGTTTACTGAGCAACAAGTAAAGTAGATTAAAATGCCTAGTTTTTTAACGTTGACTGTTGACCAAAAAGATTATTATAAATAGTACAGATATGCACAAGGTATTACATAACATCTCAATCAGTAGATAAGACCTTGTGGAAATTAAGTGTGTAAGAACATAACAATAAGTAGATCATTCCCTATTACTGTTCAATGAATCTAATATAACAATAACGTCTTTTGATGTGAAACAAAAGAAGCAATATTATAGTTTAAAAAAAACGAAGCAATATTATCTTTCTTACCAATCATCTCGATATAGTTCAAAAGCAAGCTAAGTATATTCCTTTTTATCATAGGCTATTGCTATATCTGTGTTGGTTTTTTTCTTCAGAACAGTACATAGTTAAGCCCAAAGTCATTATATATATAGATTATATAGGGATGTCGTGTGAGTGTGAATACGTTGAAATGTGAACGGGAAGATTAATTACAAGGAAAGCACAGTTATATAACTAACAGAGGATTGGGATTACTGTATTAAAGTCGTCATTAATTAATTTTGGAAGATTCGTACTTATGTTATTGTGAAACAGCTGTAGAGTGTAGAGTCAGAGACTTGACTTTGTTTTTTTATTTAGCGGTAAAGACATGACTTTCTTTTTTAAGTAAAGACCGAATGTGACAAAAATTAGCCTCACCAACTATTTGGTTTACTAAAAATTATTTTTGGTTCAATTTGGTTATTAAACTCGGGTTTACAATATTTGTATTTAAGTTCTGTGTAAGTTTATTTCAAATGGACTGAAAATAGTTTTTTTTCCAGATGTGTGTTTTTTTTCTCTGTTTATGTAGATCCAACATTAATGGAAAATATCATTTTATATATATTGCACTTCTTTTTTTTTTGAGAAAATATATATTGCACTCCTTTAAGCCTCGTGTTGTGAATTTGTAAAGTTTCATTTCAACCTATGGACGGACAGGACTTGCATACATATGTCAATGACTCAAAATAGTCAGAAATCAATAACTATGTTAACATAGCTCTATACTCATCACGAATTCAACGCACATGTTTCCATAATTCAACCCAAAGAAACAAGTCTGGTCAAAAGCATTTCACACTGCTCCAAAATATATTCATATGAACCAAGTGGTGGCAGTTTAATGGTAAAAGAGCTTGGGAGAAAGACGTAAACCCTTCTAATATGAGTTCGATTTTTCCTGCGAACATTTTCACCTCTATTTAGCCAGTTGAAGTGGTGCCATGCTTTTGATCCATTAGAAAATCTGGTGAGTGGGCTACTCGACGGCTACACTCATTCTGGTGATTAGTCGGGTGGTAAAAACCCAGACACCCCCAGTTATCAAAACAAAAACAAAAAAAAATTATTCATATGAAAACCTATCCTAAACTTTTTACGAATTTATATAGACTATAATATAGTATGGAGACATCACGGTGGCATATTGAATTAGAAAGTTAATTAGAGACCATCATCAATATGATTATAAGTTATAAATTTGAGACTTATAATTAGAGACCATCATCAATATAATTGTTATATATAAATTAGACCAATATCACACAACGTCTCATAGTTATTACAACTTGGTATTTTTACAAAAAGAGGATATATGTATCATAATCATCACGCCAATTGGAAACTGAACAATCCAAACATTAAAATTGAAATAACAATTAAAGACAAAAACAAGCAGACGCATAATTACGAAAAAAATTTATACAAACGAGAAAATCAGCTTCTTTATATATAAAACAAACCCATTAAAGATCACAACGGCTCAACATCTTCAAGTACCCTCAAGAAATGGCTGTTCAAGTACGAGTGGGGTACACGCGCGCTCCTTTACCGTCGCCGGTAGACTCAGAGCTCCGGCTACAACCGGAGGAAGTGAGAGCAGAGATAATGGTTTTCGCGGCCCTAGTCTTCACAAGCTTCCTCTTGACGGGAATCACACTCGCTGGTTCTTTCTTCACCTCCCGATCCACCTTAGAACTAGAATCATCTCCTTTGGTACTCATCTTT